AAAAAAAATACGTGCAAACACTGAAGATGAAAAAAAGACAACAACAATAAAAGCGAATGCAAAGGAACAGCAACATTTTGGTCACCTTTTTTAGTGCTAAATAGGCACTGTTATTTATTTATTTTAGTTATTTTTTGCAGGGCAAAAAAAAACTTTTCAGCAACTTTTTGTCTATTTGGATTATTGTGGTTTACAGGCTTTTAGGTGCAGTGAGGGTTTTTAGAAAGACAGGAACACTATTATGCACACAGTTAGTGCTGTTTTATGAAAATGACCCAGTTATGGTTGCACAGGAGTAAAGCTGACAGTGCCAATGCAGTGGAAGGAGAAAGGTTTTCTGTTCATAAGAATGGTTCGCTGGAGATCCACAACATAATGAAAGAGGACATGGGGGAGTATTCTTGTTTTGCTCAAAACACTGAGGGCAAAGTTGCCATTGCCGCAACACTTGAAGTCAAAGGTAAGAGAAACAGATACTCTTGTAAATCAATCAAGTTCAAGGGGTTTACTAGATTCAAAAATCAATCAAATTAAGTTAATCCATATAATCCAAAATGAGTTTTGCTTTCCTTGTCAGATCCCACCAGAATAGTCGATCCTCCACGCGATTTGCGGGTTTTGGCCGGAACCACTCTCCAGTTTTCATGCCAGGCAGATTTCGATCCCTCCATCGGTGATGACTTTGAGATTCTCTGGGAAAAAGATGGCATGGCCCTCAATGGCAGTGAGAACGCACGGTAAAATACAACAGGATGTCATTATTTTATAATAATATCAGAGTATCAGAGCTATCTAATCAGTGTATTTGCTGGTGTCTGTAGATATATCCTGAACGATGGAGTGCTTGAAATCATTAATGTGAGCTTTGGAGACCAGGGCTTTTATGTCTGTGTGGCCAGAACACCAGTCGATCAGGACGTGGCGGTTGCACAGCTTTCAGTTGTGGGTGAGTTATGTGATTTTGGTCTACACATTTTAGGAAAGTAAAGATGGACAGAAGTTTTGAGGGCTGAATTGGGTTCAGCACACGACGCAGGTGGGATTCTGCTACCTGCTGCAGCACGGCTGGAATTATACCCTTAATAAGACAGCACCATGTAGTACTTGTACAAATGAACTAGCTGGAGACATGACCTGGCAGGTAGTGCATAAGCTCTGACATGTTTGAAACCAGCTGGAGTCATTTCCCAGACCCAACCTCCCTCTTCTCCCTATCATTTCCTTCTTTTCTCCCGCTGTCTCCAAAATATCTATAAAATGGCAACAAAAACAAAAAAAGCAACTATATCATGTAATGAATCTAAATGAACTCGAGATGCTTGATCGATTGACAGCCCTAAATAAAACTTGTTGTTTTCTTAGATGTTCCTGATCCACCAGAGGATGTGATCCTTTCCGAACATAATGGCAGAAGTGTGAAACTGCAGTGGATTCCAGGAGATGACCATAACAGCTCCATTACTGGTAACATAGCCATAACACTCATATTGTCCATATACTGTATTACTAAATTTGGATACACTACGTACGGATTATAGACAAGGACTTGAACAACCTCTTATATAAATATATAAATGAAATAAATGATATATTATATAAATGACTCAACATAAAAGTTTGTGGTTGGTAGTTTTTTTTTAGGTTTATGAAGTCTCTTATGCTCACCAAGGATGCATTTTTATCACTTTAAAAACTATTACTATTTTAAATAACTCTTTTCTATTTTAATATAGTTTAAAATTTAATTTATTCCTGTGATAGCAAAGTTAAGTTTTCATCAGCCATTACTTCAGTCTTCAGTGTCACATCATGTATTAGAAATCATTCTAATATGTTGATTTGATGCTCAAGAAACATATTTTATAATTTCAATGATAAAAACATTTGTGGTGCTTTTTTCATTTTTTCCCCAGGATTCTTTGATGAACAAAAAGTTCAAAAGAAAATATTTTATTTGAAATTGAAATATTTTATGATATTATAAATGTCTGTTACTTTCACTTTTTAAATGAATGCATTATTGCTGAATAAAAGTATTAATTACTTTTAAAAAGTCTTAACTGACCCCAAACTTTTTAAATGGTAGTGTAAAATGAAATTAAAATTATATTTAAATTTGGGACGTTACAAAGTATTACACAAAATGAATATCACACAGCTGCACTGGGATGCAGTTTATGGACAGATAAATTTTGCTCACGCACTATAAAAGATTGGAAATGCACAGTTGTTACTATTGTGTTACTGTTACTGGTCTGTTTTCTATCTGATTTACCCTTCAACAAAAATTTTCATTGATGTAACCTAAAGTAGTCAGTTTGAGTCAGTCAATTTAAAGAATATTTCCTGACAAAATCCAGTTAATTAAAATGTTGTGCATGTATTGACTCAAGTTCTAATTTTATACCTTGTGCAGAGTTTGTTATAGAGTTTGAGGAAAGCCAACATGAGCCGGGCAGCTGGAGGGAGATGATGAGAGTACCGGGAAACCATCACTCCGCTCTGCTAAAGCTTCACAGTCACGTGGACTACCGATTTAGAGTCTATGCCATCAATGAGGTGGGAAGAGGTCGGCCAAACCAGGCCACTGAAAGATACAAAACTCCAGCATCAGGTATCTATGAGCTTTCCTACTGTTTCTCCTAACCATGCCACCTTTACAGATAGCAGTGAGGCCAACTTCATCGCCCTCCTGAACTTTAAAATATTCAAACTTGTGAGATAATTGATTTTCCCTGTCGTTTAAGCTCCAGTCTAAAGTGCATATTTCACAGGCCATTTTTCTTTCTTCCACTAACAATTTCACCTCCAACAAAATCCATATTTCTACTCTTTCCAAAGCACCCGACAAGAACCCAGAAAATATCAAGATCGAAGGTCATTTGCCTCATGAAATGGATATCAACTGGGAGGTACGATGCTAAACGTTCAATTCCAGTAGTCTTTGGGAATATCTAAAGTTCAAAGCACTGGAAGGGCTGCACAGATAAAGAAGTGCTCTCAAATACTGAATTTCATTTAGTTCTCACAGGGGGAGAGAAAACTAACAGTGTCAGTTGTTAGGTTCCAATTATCGATAAGCGTATTCCCCAAGATGGGAGATTTTGCATAGCAAAATACAGCTATCTCTATCGCCGTGCTGTTTGGAAAGTTACAAAGCCCTGCTGAAATGGATCTCTCTGGACACAGGTTCCCATCAAAAGGAGCCCAGAGTGAGTCTTTGATTGAAAAGTAAAACGAACGGGATACATAAATTTATATTTTCACATAAAGGTAAAAATCTTTTACAGTGTCTGAGCTATTACTTGGCCACCTTTGCATGCTAATACGAGGAATCTCATTGTTAATGGTGAATATTAGTGAATAATTGCATTTTGTTCGGTCTTTTGATGCAAGATGATTGTAAAAGCATAGTTAGCTGTTAGAGCTTTGCTAATAGAAGTCAGTTGTTATAATGTTTGAAAAATCGCTGACAGTTACCCAGGTATATCAGCACTGAACATTCTGCAGAAGTTTCCACAATAATACACCTGCATGGAAAAAAATGATTTATAAAATCAATTAATTATATAATAATAATAATAATAATAATAATAATAATAAAAACAACAACAGAAAATAGTGAGAAATCAACTTTTTGGAGAATGTTAAGCAAATATTAAGGTAGGAAATGCTTCTTGAGCAAAATCCGCATATTGAATATGATTTCTGAAGGGACTGGAGTAATGGCTGCTGAAAATTGAACTTTGCCATCACTGGAATAAATTACATTTTAAAATGTATTAAAGTGGACATTATTATTTTAAATTGTAATAATATTTCATTACAGTTTTTACTCCATTTTTATCAAACAAGAGACTTCTGAGATTAAAAAAAAAAATCTTACCAACCTCAGACTTTTGAAAGGTAATTTATTATTTCACATGATTGTTTCAAGAAAACAAAGCATGAATATACAGTTCCATTTGCCAGTATCTACAGTAGCTAATTTGCTACTAACTATCTTGAACAAAACTAGTCTTCCTCAGAAGTGTTCATTACATAAACATAAACTAATAACCTGTGTAAAGCCAGATAGTCTAAATGTAAGTTTTGATTTCTGCCATTTTTTGTGTGCAATATTCAGCATACGGTCTGAGGCTGAGACAATAAAAACACAAAGTGTTTGAGAACTAAATGCTATTTCCTTTGATTTACTGTTTCCTGTCAACTTACTGAGCTCTTTCGTTCTCCTGTCACAGCCACTGTCACCTATTGAACACAACGGGCCTGGTCTGGAGTACAAAGTAAGCTACAGAAGACAAGGCACCGGAGAGGACTGGACGGAGCACATGGTGAAGAGGCACTCATTTCTGGTTAAAAACACCCCAACGTTCGTCCTTTACGAGATCAAAATTCAGGCCAAGAACCACGTGGGCTGGGGTCCGGACCCCAAAATAATAACAGCGTACTCAGGAGAGGATTGTAAGTAGGAAGAACCTCTATTGTGTCTGAGCTGTGGAGATGAGCATGCATTCAAATAAGCCAATACCATTGACATTTCACTCACTGTCAATGCACTGTGCATGTGTACCTTTGAGAGCATACAAAGCAGGTGAAGATTTTGAAAGACGTATCTTATTTTTTTCTAACCTTTCCTTTGTCTGTAAGGGTCTTGTTGCATTGCAAATAAGCATTGCCTGTAAACGGAAACAAGCCCCCCCTTTAGCGAAAGTGCAGAACATGTGTGACGAGAATATCAACAAACCTAGAGGGCAGAGAACACTGATGAAATACCATCTTGCCTTTACACAATATCCAAACAGTTGCGCTGATATGCCGATTTGTTTTGCCTTATTGAGGATATTAAATTGCACAAGGGGGAATGATTTCTTCACTCAGAGTCTTTGTAGACTAACAAATGAAATGTTATCATGGCTATGAGCTATTTACATTTGCGGCTATAATTATTCTCTTTCCTTCAGTTTTCTTTTGGAGTTGCCCTCTCGATGTTATCTCAGGTCACTACATATCTGTGCAGTACGATTAGTTTAGTCCCCCTTTCTCTCTCAGTCTCTCCCTCTTTTTTAATTCTTTTTTAGCTAGTTAAGCACATTGCACATTGCACATGCAGCTTTAAATCTGAGCAAGCTGATGGAATGAAAGTATGATTCATTCTAGTGAATCAGTTCATTTGGACAGTTAATGTACAGTAAATTACCACATTCATAAAATGAATCACCTGTCTGAATCCTTGTATGGCAGAGTTTTATCTTTTCCGATTCCTTAATTGTTCTGTTAACAATTCTGGTTGCACTTTAGAATAGGGAACACACATTCACTATAATTAAGAGTTTTAAGGGATCTAAAATATGATCATGCTTTATAAGTACTAATAAAAAGTCAGTATGCTGGTAATATGCATGCTAATAAGCAACTAGTTTATAATGAGAATTGGTCCTTAAAATAAAGTGTCACCACAATTCTTTTAATACCTTTAAAGGGATAGTCCACAAAAAAAGAAAGACAATTCTGTCTACAGAAATCCAGACTATTGGTATGATATAAAAAGGTACAATTTATGAATCATAACATGCACATTTTTTAAACAAAACAACATAAATATTACTCTAGAGTTATTTATGGACAAAACATATTGCTTCCATCATATAGCTAGCTACTTTAAAAAAAAAAAAGCTTAATATAATTATGTTTCATTTATATGTAGCTTAGCTTGGCAAGGTAGATTTTCAGTGTTGCTTCTCCAACACTGGTGTTAAGGTTTTATTCCATTATAATCAAATCTCTTCCCATTAGCAAGTGTCATATATGGTGTCTGTGAGATTGTGAATGTGATATGTTGTTTATATAGATTTGTGTATGGTAAATCACTGTTGTGTAGCCAATTTGCCAAGTGTTTGATAACGAAATGTAGCTACAAAGCATAAAAACAATATGATAGTCCATAACTCCACATAAACAACTATTACACCCGCCTCAGTTTTTCCCATGATTACCCACAAAATTACACCACATTTCTTGGTCTCATTTCATGGATATAGCTGAATCTAATTCACTGGCATTATCTTGATGTAGGAACAGTGTAATTTGAAAGCAGCTTTATAGAGCTATTTGTAATATTTCATTTGCATGTGATTCGTCCATAGTCCCCTCGGCTGCTCCAGAGGATGTAGCCGTAGACGTGATGAACAACACCATGATGAAGGTCAGATGGGACCATGTTCGCAAGGACAAACTCAATGGACATCTGGGGGGCTACAGGGTAATTCCACACCAACATGTGTTTTGCTTTTTAGCCATGCATGGTTTAAAGGCCAGTGACCCCCTTTTTGACCTTGAACTCATCTTGTTTCCCAGCAAGCTGTCAAAGGTTTCCACATGTATTAAACTGGTGTTGTTTTACTCATCAGCTGTATTTCACTACCTATGGAGGAATCTAATCTCTTGTATTTATAGATAAGCTATTGGAGGCTTCGTAGTCTGCTGGACTCAAAGAAAACACATAGTGACAAACACACATTGACATTCTCAGGCGAGAGGAACCATGCGGTGGTCACAGGGCTTAGGCCGTTCTCTGAATTCAGCCTCATTGTCATGGCCTTTAACAGCAGAGGAAACGGGCCTGGCAGTCATCCGGTCAGCTTCAAAACACCTGAGGGAGGTGAGTGAGGAGAGGATGTGTGTGAACACCTGAGCTAAACATAATACATTTGGTTCTGTGAGGTTAAGGCTTTTGCACATGTTTCCCCTGATTTGCAGTCAGGATGAGTAGATGCTAGTTGATGAAAGTCAGAGCCAGTCTGCAGGTTTTGGGCAGTTGGATTTGACAGATTTCATAGAAAATCACATCATGCACTTCGGGCACAGACTCAGATTTTTCTGTCCGCTTTCAGCTTCAGACTATCTGTCCAGTCAGAGGATATCAAACACATTTGTTTCTTGAGGCGATTTTAGAACACACATTCTTTCCATTTGTCATGTTTCTGTGAGTTTATTGTTTTTGAAAATTCTAGTAGTATGTGATCCACAGTCATTATACAGTATGATGCCAAGTTGTACTATGTAACCATTTCCAATGTTGACAAGTGTATGATGTCTAATGTTATTTGTAAAATATGTTTCCGATTTTAAAATGTGTAGTGTGTTCCAGCCTTTAGTTTACGTAAAAATACATGTGCTATGTCCCAATTTGCATACTATAATGCTAAATAGTATTCAAAATTACAATTATTGTGTCCTAAATCATAGTATGTTGCAAATCTGTGCGTTCTGTTAAAGACACAATTATCATGAAGTGGTATGTCCCAAAGGTTGCCTGCTCTTCTGCTACACACTCAAAGGTGTTTTTTTTTTCTTTACAAAAAGAGTACATACTTTTAGGGCATAAGTATAAGTATGCGAATTTGGATGCAGAAGTTGGTTGTGGTTTGTCATGTGACCATTCTAGTGACAGCTAATTTGAATATTTGGAAATACAAATGAGATGTGAGGCTTTTGATATAGGGGAAGATTTCACAGAAGAAATTAATACTAATGACCATTTTTGTGTGAAATGTTCCTTTAAATTATTAATATAACTGTCAACTCTTTGTTTCTTTCTCTACCTTTAGTTCCTGGTCAAATAGCTGCTTTCAGTGTTACAAACATCCAGAAACACAAGGTCACCTTGACCTGGTCTCCTCCGGTTGACGCAAATGGAGTCATAATTGGCTTTATCCTCCAATATCAGCTAAGTATGTGAACATTGCATTTCCAATTTGTTCATAACCCTCACTATAAACGTCTGCATCTTGCTGTGAGGGTTACACGCTGGGGTTTGAGTAAACAGCTTTTATTACTGATATTCATTTCTGACGTGGCCCATGACACAGCAGCATTACTGGTCATTACAGCGATTCTACAGTGAAACCACAAACCACTGGATTTGCATTGAAGGTTTTTAGGACTCTGTTCATGTCACTTAAAGGGCCAGACTACAGAGCATAAAAAAGCTATTGCCCTGTGTCAACATGTTCCCTGTGATGCAAATGCGGATTTGGACATACAAAAACAGCAAAGTGCTCTTTGATGGTTCATGTCTCATTACATCGAGTGATGCCTACATCTCACCACTAGGAGATATTGTTGTACCACCTACCTTAGGGTTGGCAGCTGCATCTTAAATTCAACCGAGACTACAGTATTATGAAAATAACTGCACAGGACCTCAATAAGACACAGTTGTATATTTGCTAAATGATTTATGGAAAACAATTACTTTGACTTGTTAAAGTTGCCTCACTCAATTTGCTTATTTTTATTATACAGGTCCTGTTATATCTAACTGAAGGCACACTAGTGAATTAAACAGCTATTTACTGCATGTCATTAGAGTATGCTTTGGTTTTAATTAGGAATTACAGTGAGAAACACTGCTGATTACATAAACATAGTGGGTTAACAATGTGCATCGTATTAATAGGTAAGTGATGAACTGTAGGGAAAAGCAAAACATTGTGAAGCATATCTGTAAATATTAGGGGATTTTTTTCAAGATATAGATTTTGATATTCGAAGTGTAATGGTAAGATTAAGAATAATTACAGCCGACCACATACAAAAAACTTTTAGACCAATCAGAAGCCACTGTAAACCCGTAGCATGAAAGCATCATCAGCACTCATGCCTAGTTAATACTATGGCTACTACACTGCAGTTAGTTTTAATTGGTTTTTTTTTTTAAAAATAGTTCAAATAAAATTCAAAAAATCTGTGAAACAAGAAAGCAACTTCATGTAATATATATAAAATAATATAAATAGAAAAATTATTGAAAAATCTTGTTTCGAAAGACATTTTAATAAAAAAAAATATATATATATATAATTGACTGATTTGACTTTAAGTAGGAATATACTGCAGACTACTGGGTGAACAACCACATGGAATTAATATTCATGCGCAAAGCTAAATTTTTTTACAATGTGCTATCCCACCACTTTTCCGATTTTTTTATGCCCCTAGGGAAAATGTTTTTTAAAAAATTGGTTTCTCTTTATTTTTCTAAGAAATATAAGGTATGCTCATTGTCTGGACCAGGGATTGCCAAAGTTTTTTATCACCGCTTTGACCTAAAAGATTTACTTTAAGTAACCCCTGAGATTTTAAATGAATATTTAAATGATTTGTTATCTTATGTCACTTAGTGGTCACATCACATGCAGGTAAACAATTAAAATATTTAAGAATTTTTCATAAGCATTTTTTTAAATTTGATTTTAAATGTAAATGTATGGTTTAATGAATTATTCACTTTCCGAAATCCCTGCAGTTCCCTCACAACCCTGGTCTACTCGATCCTGGCACATGTATTGCAAAGCGCTCATGTCAAAGACATTTGTGAACTGGTATACCATTGCGATCAAGCCGACCCGCTTTCTCGCACTGACCCTACACTGTTCTACATACATCGTATCACAACACCAGGCTGGGCACGTGCACCGCTCAACACGCAACCAGATCCCAGCAGGAGTGATGACGGAGCTGATTATGATGCATGCAGTCTGGGAGGCCTCGTTAGCTAATTGTGTTTGATGCTGCGGCTGATCATTGAGGCCAAGTGTCAGGTTGTGTATTAAAAGAAGTGACGTTTTCATCAGGAGAGCTTGCTAGAACCATTGTGCTCCCTTTGAAGTGGGCTCATTGAAGTCCCCTTGAAGAAAGTGGTGTGTAAAATGCTGGCGAGAGAGCGCACAGCTGTACTCGTTGAATGGAAAATAGCAACTGGGATTAAAGAGCCACTGCACAGATGGCCCGCAGCCAGATCCAACTATGCTGAAATCGCACAGAGTTAACAATTCACACATTGCAAATTACTTATGGAGGATTCAGAAATAGTGTTTTTTAATTTTTTTATTTTTGTTTGACAGACTTATTGGGAATTGTTTGAAGGAAAGGGGGACTCCAGAACATGTTGCTGTGCAGACCCAAACGTGTTTACACAACATAAGCATAATAGCTCAATAACACATCATTAGCACATGGATAAGAAATTATGTTTTATTTGGAAGTACCCAATTCGGTACACAAATGCTGCCTGATGACTGACAGCTACTTTCAAATGCACACATGCTTATGTGTATGCATCATCTGTAAATAACGCTTGTCCCTTGCTGTGATGTGTGAAAGGTCAACTGCAGTTCTTGCCAGGGTTATTAATGCAAACAGAAGTGGTTTGTCACGAGTGAATGCAAAAAAAAAAAGGAGAGAACGAGAGAAAATCTAGTTTGTGTCAAAATATTTAAAAATTGCGTCTACATGCTATACTCAATTTAGAGATTTTGAGTTCCCTTTCAGTCGGTCACTCTCGACGTCACGTCGGAGGACCGACGAAATTGGGATCTCGCTTAGAGGGACCAATCTACTTCGAGTGTAAACTAAACGAGCCAATGCACATTGGCAACCTCCTTCGGGAAGGTTCGAGCTTCCGTAACGCCCCTGTTCCAAGTAGAACGGGTACGTTTTCCCAATGTTATCAAGTCTTACTCATTGGGTAGTGCCATTGCTGCAGTAGCTGGTCCTCTTGTGAAGAAGCCCTGGCCTACGCCAAAAAATAGGGGTGCAGGTGGCTTCCACAGGACACTGGAAGGGGCAGTAGCTGTACCCTCGTTCCCTGAAGGAGGGAACGGAGACGTCACGTCCCGTCGCCACAGCTCCTGTACCACCGCTGAGCAGCCGGGTCACCGGCTCGGCTCCTCAGCGAAAACCTGAATATGCGCTGCACCTGCTGCCTACTTATACTCACGCTGTGATCAGCAGCAGCTGGATGCAATAATCGCATGCCAATGTGCATTGGCTCGTTTAGTTTACACTCGAAGTAGATTGGTCCCTCTAAGCGAGATCCCAATTTCGTCGGTCCTCCGACGTGACGTCTCTGTTCCCTCCTTCAGGGAACGAGGGTTACATACGTAACCGAGACGTTATTTTGCTGCCATAACATGTCTTTAGACTAGTGGAAAGAAATTACCCAAAATACACATTTAAGTGTTTATTTTATTACACTTTGTCTATTTGCGATGTCAATTACAGTACATATCTTTAATGGCCGTTTTGTCAAAATTTTTGTTTTTCTCATGCACTGAACCATAAATCTCCACTTTAGTAGCACTTACATACACCAAACTTGCAGTTTTATTCTTGTCTATATTCTGAAGGTTTTTACAGAAGGGTTTGTTCATAAATCATTTGCCTGAATTTTTTCCCCTAAAAATATGAAAATGTATTTTGAACCTGGCTTCATCCAATGTTCAGATTTCTGTTCTGGGGTGTATTCCAGAAAGGAGGTTCAACAAACTCTGAGTTAAAACTTGAACTCTGAGTTGACTTACCCTGAGATTGGAAACTCTGAGTTTTCAGTTTCAGAACAGCTGAACAGTATTAGTTCAATCCACTCTGAGTAGGTTGACTGTGCTGACTGTTTACCAATAATTGCTTGGAAAAACTTTTTTGTTTTAATATTTATTCATATTTAACTTAATGAAAGGAGTGTGTTCAGTTGCAATTTATTTTCTTTTTTTTGGGGGGGGGGGGGAAATATAAAAATATTTAATTTAATAAAATAAATTTATAAATATGTATTTATATTTTATGTCATCAAAAAATAGCCACAACATGTAGTCCATACAATAACATTGTGATGCTTTGCAACATACCATAAGACATACAGTAGTATCGTGACAACCTTATTGTCATCCACTATCAAATTTTGGGTATTGTGGCAATCCTAGTGCAGACTGTCAGTCTGTGTCTGTGTCAGAAGAAATTTAATGAAAGGGTTTGGTTCGGTTGAATTTTTTTTTTTTTTTTTGGGGGGGGGGGTGAAATATAAAAATAATTAATATAATAAAATAAATTTATAAATATGTATTTATATTTTATGTCATCAAAAAATAGCCACAACATGTAGTCCATACAATAACATTGTGATGCTTTGCAACATACCATAAGACATACAGTAGTATCGTGACAACCTTATTGTCATCCACTATCAAATTTTGGGTATTGTGGCAATCCTAGTGCAGACTGTCAGTCTGTGTCTGTGTCAGAAGAAAAAAAAAAGCCCTCTGGCTGACTAAACACGTCTGACATTTCAATGACATGGCCTTCCTGCAACCAGTCCAGCTGAGCGACCAACACATGATGAACACATGCCACTTTGCTGCATAGCTTTATTTTTTATTATCTGTGTGATCATCAATGGATTCTAATATGTGGTACTATATAAATAGTTTAGATTGCATTGACGGTATGCTCTTTTTCCTTTTCCTGTTTAGTAAATGACACAGAGGAACTAGGTTCTCTGATGACCCTCAACATCTCTGCTGACAGCAATAAGCTGCACCTCCAGGATCTGGAAGCACTGAGCAAATATAAGTTTTACCTACGGTGTTGCACGCGGGTGGGCTGCGGACCAGCTGTCAGCGAGGAGCGCACCACTGTCCCCGAAGCGAGTGAGTACGGGCAGCAGCTGCTCAGGGGTGGGGGGGTCTCGGGGGAGTCAGCCTGTGGCATTCCAAAGGACAGGGAATCTGGCGCTCTGACATGGATGACCAAGTTGCTGTTGTTATGGGCATCGACCCGGCGAATGCAGGGGACATTATTTCGACCTCCCATCTCACCAAGCTTTTCATATGCCCATCTAAGCATTTCTTTATAGCTAAACAATATCATAACAGTGTGCGACTGGGCTGCATTCATCACTGTCTTGGAAGACCAAGCGCTTATTGATTTGAGGGTAAGAGCTTGCCTGCAAAAAGGAAGAAGAAATGATATGTTGCCTTTGGGGATGGAAATGCTGGATTGTTATTAATACAGACGTAGAAGTAAGTTGGTAATCAACATCAAAAAATATATTAAAAGAAAAAACCACACAACTGTGAATTTACAGCACATTTATCATGATTAATGGTTCACCCTGCCATACTTATCATCGGCAGTTAGCAGATTGTTGATAAAGTGCTGTTTATTTCCGTTTCGCCAAGGGTTCGTATGGAAGTTGTGTTTACGGAAGAAATATGACCGAGATGAAAATCCCAAGGCGTAATTCCAATATTCGGCAGAGTAATAGAAAACAGTCAAGAAAACAAATGACTGCTCTGATGTGAGGGGAGATATCTTTATGTGTCAATGGGAAACAACCGCCTAAACATGACCAGTATACATCAAGAAAATCAGCTGATTTCAAATACAGTTAGTAAAAAATGTTTTGTTTATGTGCAGTTGGGAGCATATGATAATGTCTTATTTTAAAATAGTTAATGTTTGTTTCATGCAATTCTGGACATGTTACCATAGCAATACCGTGTTTTTTGGCAATGAAACCATGGTGTATTCGACTAAGTGCCTTGTACAAATTACATGTAAATGAATGTCTAATATATAACATCAAACAACAATGCTGCCAAGAAAATTATTTTAAGCAAGGCACTACATGCAAAATCATTGGTATTTTTTTCAGATTTTGAGCTATTTTGCTTTCAAAACATGTCTTTTTTTCAGACTAGTGGAAAGAAAACGTCCAAAATACACATTAAGTGTTTGCATTTGTAGATTTCAGTTACAGTTTAAAAGTATCTTGGTACTGTATTTCCGTGTATTTCTGGGCATATTACCATGGCAATTTCCTGTTTTTTGGACCCAAAACATTGTGAAACCATTGTATTTGAAGTACCTTAGTTTCCATGCACATACCATGGTAAATTAATATGGCAGTTTTTCCCTACTATATATATATCACATACCATGGTATTTCCATCTGATGCATACAAAATGCCTTTCAAAGCCCTTCTTTAATACTTATTTCTGGTGAGACATTTAAAAATATGACATCATATTTTTAAATACTTTGGAATGGAATTTTCCAAGCTTCTTGCTATTGCTTTCTCACTTTAATGCTTCGGTAACAGGCACTGCTGTCTTATAAACAAGCTGTCTTATGAACTAAAGTTGTCGTGATTTCAGTGTCTTTCTGTCGTGCTTGCAATATGTCTTTTTCATTGCTTTATTGCTTTTGTTTTGCCAGCTTCAACAGATGTGGCCTCTTTCAACATCAGTATGAAGTCTTCTGTTTTCTTTAGCACTAGAAATAGCTAACACACTAGACAAGAAGATACAATTGTAGCTGTATTGTTGGACTCTATCTTGAAAATGCATGTGTTCATAATAGGGTAATCATTTCATTTTCATATACCGTAGAAGCATAATGCTTTTTTTCTTTTGCCCTGTCCTTGTGTGAGTCTAGCTGACAGTATAGGTCTTGATGGTTGCTAAATTAGATAAATCTCACTATTAACCTGTAATCTGCTCTTTGTTGGTAGCTGAAACTAATTGATTTATTCCATTTAATCCTGTTCGATCCGTTCGAAATGTTTCTTGCATAATGCTATAGTTCAGCTAACATAGACAATTTTTATATTTCATTTAGCATCCGCTTGTTTAGTACATCACATGGCTGCTTCTTTCTTAGCCACATCACTCTCTTAGAATAGTTCAAACCATTTAAAATACTGTCTTTCTTTCCAGGAAAATCCGGCTCACGATTTCCTCCAAGAAAAACCACTGTTTCCCCTATGGCTAATGCTACTCTGTCTTCTATAGGTACTAAACCACACAAAAACAAGTCTGAAAGAACAAATGAGAAACAAATTGGGCTTTTTATGTCAGCAAATATTCAGTTATGTAATAACAAACACATTCAAATGTTTGGGGTTGGTAAGGTTGTTTTTTAATATCTCTAAAAGAACTATTTTATAGTATGATCACCTCAGCTGCATTAATTTGAACAAAAATACAATAAAAACTGTAATATTGTGAAATATAATTATAGATGTTTTCTGTTTTAATACATTAAAAATGTCATTTACAAAGCTGAATTTTCAGCATCATTTCTCCAGTGTTCAGTGTCACATGATCCTTCATAAATCATTCTAATATGCTGATTTGCTGCTCAAGAAACATTTCCTATTATTGTCACAGTTGAAAACAGTGATTAATATGTTTGTGAAAACCGTTGATAAACCAAAAAGTTCAAGTTTTACTGTCGGAATGCTGAATAAACTGTTCATTCCTTTAAAATAAGTAAACAAGTAAAAATCTTACTGACCCCAAACATTACAGTATTAATGGATGAAGTGGCAAGGTCTGATTTGTTAGGGCTTATCGGGGGACTGAGGAGCAGTGGTGATGTAGCCCAGAAGTGGCTTTTAAATGGATAAGAGGAAGCCGTTTAAATTCCGTTGCTAAATTTCCCCACAAAAGTGGCTTTCGGGACCAGTCTCGCAGGACACGTGTGGCGCAAGCTTTCCTCCCTCCCGCTGTGGCGGCAGATGCGGACTGACAAACCTCCAGCTAGCTCGCTCAATATTTATGCACCATTTCTGTGTCAAGCAAAGGTGTCACACCGCACCGATGATTAAAGCAATTTCTGCAATAACAGGGTGGATGGAAACGCATCAGGATTAGAGTATGTCATTCAAGCATGGGGCGATGGGCAGGATAGCCATGGTCCTTTGGTGCAGATGGATTCCTGAAAAGAGCCTGAGAATAAATGTGTTCCATTTGCATGTTTTGCCCAAAGGGAGAGGTGTTGTGTGATTGAGATGTGTGGTAATGAGCTTTGACAGCAGACAACAGTCTGCCTAATTGCTACACCTGAAGGTGATGAAAACACACGTTATCTGTGATTGATATAGCTCCGGTAGCACGCCGTGAAGGTAGCAATTGTCCAAGTCGAATACTTTTAGCTTCCTGAATAGAAACAGTGTATGCTGTGTTCAGGTCTTTCTGTGGCTCTCAGAATTTGGTGACTGCGTAATTATTACTTTGAGACTCTGTCTACAATTATCTCCTATTATTTCCTCTTATTTCGCCCAGTGTAACGAGCACATCATTATTTCAGGTCGTTAATTAGTCATTTAATTACAGAAGACTCGCAGCTATGTTTCTGATGGAAATTAAACCGCACTCCATTCTATCATCTAAAGATCCACCATTTGTTTGTGCCATCCCATCACGTTAATTTCTTTACGCTGTGTCCTAACCAGCCGCGACACTAGGGTTTCCAGTGACAAGTAATTAGTCTGACCACAATGAATGTAAAAATGCTCTGCAACGTAACAAGCTACCAGCCAATCAAAACACATTTAGTGTTCACGTGACAAAATGACAGTAATTATGAGCTCCTCTAAGTAGCACATCTTTGTCAAACTGGTAATTACTTAGAATTAGTTTGAACACTCCAGCGTTTCTTAATTCTACACTAGTAAAATGCATTTATTTATGAATTAGTTATTATGAGGGTTTCCATTGAAGCACATTATTTCATCCGAGGATATAAACAACTCCAAGTTATTTATCTATTTGTTTTTAATATCATTATGATAATTCCAAGTTGACATGAAGCTGCGCAATATTTTGTTATGCAGAGCTGTACTTTGGACCAATCAGGTTTCCTTGTGGGCGGGGCAACCTACTTAAAAACAGGTTGTGAAAAATAGCTTTTATTGTTTCACGCCTGGTTAGGACAGCGCTAAGGACCGTTCACACCAAGAACAATAACTAAAAAGATAAAGATAACTATAACGATAACTATATCAACATCCACACCATTGCACAATTTCATTATGTTAATTATAAGCATGTGGTACCATTTTTAATGCTTGAGCACGTTAAAGCAGGATGGATTCTGATTGGCTATCAATATGTTTAATGTTAATTTTGAAAGTGATTCCAACAATATTGTTTTCTCTGTTCTGTTATTGCTATAGTTGTGGTGTGGACTATGCTATTCTTTTACATTTGGAATGATTTCTAAGCTCTAACTTTATAGTTATCATCCTTGGTGCAAACGGGCCTTTACTGCAATACCAGAGCATTGCAACTCTAACGCATTAGAAAGCATGGCTCTGCCAATAAGCAGCATTTCGTTAAAGTGATATCTGGCAAAGTTCATGTATTACAGTGAATATAAAGAAAATAAAGAAGGCACTCTTTCTCCTCAAAGTCATCTAACAAGCAACCCTTCCTCATGTCATTTACAGTACTAACCCTCTGTGTCATTTCTCTCTTTTCTCAGCTTTGTTGAATATTAGCACCTCAGTTAGTCACAACTTTGCAAATATCAGCTGGATTCCAGGCACAGAACAGACGGAGTCAGAGTTATATGTTGCCTTTATGAACAACCGTAAGCTTTTCTTACTGTTCTCCATCCTTGTTCTTGTAAATTAAACCTTGAGGTTTGTGTAGTTTAATATGTCATGGTAAATTCAATCAAAAATAAAATTGTTTAGAATTAGTTATTTGTGTAGCCTTTAGAGAATTGTCATAGATTTACAAGTAGCTATATATCTTTATATCTATGTATCCTCATTTTCATAGTAATAATTTATAGTTTATATATTTAAAATATAATTATTAAGGCTGTCTTTTTTTTGGTTTTGTTTTTTGAGTAAATTACATAATGTAATCTTGATGGAATTTACAAATACCTGTAGGTTCAATTTTCAGTAGCATTACTTAATTAACATGCTAATTTGGCAGCCATAATAATTGTTCACCTCCCCTCATATACAGTATAATTATGTGTATTTATAGTAGAGATTTCTTAGTATACTAACACCACTTCACCCACTATGTACATCCTGTAGGTGAAGGTAACTGGAAGATTTCCGATGCGCTAAATTCTTCTAAGACTTTCCACATCATTGAAGGGCTCGAACCTGCGACTGAATACACAGTGCGTCTTATGACTAAAAGCTGGGTTGATAATTCTAGTATTTTTGAAGACGTTATCAGGACCAGTGCCAAAGGTGAGGGGAACGTAGTCTCCGAGATGACAGAAATGCAAAGCAAAATCGTCTTTGTCTCTTCTTTTCCCATCTCATCAAGAGTGCGAGCAACAGCCTGTGATAAAATTATCATGCGTGGTGTGCCTCATGTCATCCCAGAGCATGTGTTCTGTGGACTTGATAAAAGGAATTATGCTTTATCAACCTCTGCCGTTGATTAATTAGACATGCAGTCTGGCAGTTTAATATTAATATCTGCACATTTACATTCTAGAGTTTGCCTGGTGTCTCATTTAGTGTGAGATGTTCTCAGTTGAAGTCAATATTCGGTAAAGTGTCCTCAGGAAATGTCAAAACTAAGAGAATGTTTTGTCTCTCGCAGGTCTGGCCAGTATTCATGGAGGCATCTCCAACCAGGGCTGGTTCATCGGGCTCATGTGTGCCATAGCTCTGCTCACCCTCATTGTGCTCATAGTGTGCTTTGTGAACCGAAATAAAGGCGGAAAGTACTCAGGTATTCTCTCACACAATGAAACAAATCAGTTGCTGGGGAAAATTGCAGAGTTCTTTTGTGAAGGTGAACTGAATCCGCTAAATGGCAGTCAGAAAACTCTAACAAATATCTAAACTGTCTGGAGATTTTCTTTTAAGTATAAAAAAAGCCAAAAGGTTTAACTAGAAGTAAAAAAACACACACTGAAATTAAGATGGAAAAACACTGTATATAAAATTCACAGCTCGATCATCACAGCAGCACATGGAACGTGTTAATGTGTTTATATTTAGAATATTTTGCACATCTTCGTTGGGGGCTGCAAATTGGGTATGATTCAAGGTTCTACCCAATAACACAGTTGTATTTTTAACTGGATCTTCTAAACCGCTGTAACCTTTACAACTGTGAAAGTTTTCTGATTACTGTACAGAAACGGCATGAGCCAGATCTGTTCATTTACATGTGTTAATATAAACTTGCCGATGTGCTTGCTCATGTAAATTACCTTTAAATACAGTACATACTTATATTAACTACTTATACATTTATATCTTGATAATTTCTTGATTGATTAAATGCAAATCATGTAGCCTTACACACTACTTTTCAAAAGTTTTGGGTTAGTGCATTTTTTTTAATAAAATTAATTAATTAATAATTAAATAAATACATAAAAATAATAAGAAGAATAATGATATAAAAATATTAAGCAGCACCACATGTTTTCAACATTGATAATAATAAGAAATGTTTCCAATCAGCATATTAGAATGATTTCTAAAAAGGGATCATGTGACACTGAAGACTGGAGAAATGAAACATTAAAACAACATTCTGAAATATTATTATAATTTAATTTTTACTGTATTTGTGGTAAAATAAATGCAGCCTAGAGACTTGTCAAATACTTTAAAAAGTCTTACATACCCCAATACTATATACACAGTGTATATATAATATTAATAAATATAATGTATGTTAATAGAGAGATAAAGAATATGTGTTAGTCTCTCTAAATTTACAGTGCTCTCTTGTGTTGATTCAGTGAAAGAGAAAGAGGACCTGCACCCCGACTTGGAGTCCCAGGGCATAAATGATGATACCTTCTGTGAATACAGGTATTTCAAACCGCCAGCAAGATTTACTGCCACATGGCAGAATGACGGCAACCTCTAACACGGTTTCCTTGTAATTTGTGCATTTTTTTCTTTGGTTTGAAAGCCAGCACCAAACCAGCCTGAGCTCTGGACGTGCAGCAAGCTAAAGTAACCACCACACGTATGTGCTAAACAATAACAACAAAACCAATGTTGTTCACACATCAGTGCCACTGATGTGTTCCTGTTTCACGTGTGACTTTGTGAGTAGCTAGAACACATGTAGCACTTTAGAAACAATAGCTTTGCTGTAAAAATGAAAATTATGTTGTAATTTGAGATCGAGCAAACAAAAGATTTCCCGGTAGGATGATGGTAAGCAATCCGGTTTAGTTGAAAGACACTTATCTTGAGGCCGGCAATAAATGTGTTTCTTGTTTTATTAATCATTCAGCAATCCAGTAACAATCTCTTCAAGAACAGTGTGTGTAGTGATAATTATTAATCTGAAATATTTTGAGCAGATTATCGGAGCTGTGTTCATGATGAAGGCTGAACTCTAGATTTGCCCAGCTCAGTGTCTTATGTTTCACTATTTGAAACACAAGGCTTGTTTTATGCAGACGTCAAACAGTGTGTGAATGCATGAGCTTCACGGTTTGAGTGAAGATAATGCATGCTCAAATGCACCCTTCCACCTTCAGAATTTGTAATATTCCTATCATATTAGCCATTCTGTTGGGTTTGGGGCTGGTGGTTTCATGCACTGTGTGTTAGAAACAGGAATGAGTTGTCATGCTGGAGTGTTTCTCTATTGCTCTTTTTAAAGGAGTTGTTCACACAATACTGGCAATATTGTTGTTATTTACTCGCCCTCATGTTGTTATGAACCTGTATGGGTTTTTTTGTTTGTTATATTTCAGGTCTTCTGAATACAAGTAGCAGATTTGTGTAAGGAACCGACTATGCACTTTTGTCAAAATAAATAACATATTCGACTGTAAATCAGCATTTGTTATTTGTTAAACACATTTTGATATTGAATTTTGGGCACAAACAAGGGCTGAACTATCTCCTCATTATATTGTAAGTGAAGCACAACTTAAATTTCTAATTTTGTCCCTCACATAAAGTTTGCATACGACTTCAGAAGACTTACCATTCAAAAGTTTGGGGTCAGTACATTTTTTTTTATGTTTTCTGAAAGAAGTCTCTTATGCACACCAAGGCTATTTAAAATACAGTAAAAACAGTAATACTGTGAAATATTATTGCAATTTAAAATAACCATTTTTATTATTTTAACATTTATAAAAAATAAATATTTTATAAAATGTAGTCTATTTTAAAATTAGTCATTACTCCAGTCTTTAGTGTGACTTGATCATTCAGAAATCATTCGAATACGCTGATTTGGTGCTCAAGAAACATGTATTATTAATATCAATGTTAAACATATGTTATATATTTTTTTGAATTATTTTTTTCAGCATTTGAAGAGCTCCTCTATATCTACTAGAGGAAGGTACTCAGAGCCGATCCTCCCTATACGCAAAATACGCAAGCTGTGTAGGGCCCCCGAAACACCAGGGGGCCCCCTTGCTCTCAAATAGGATTTAATTTTAGTTTGGTTTTTGAATTTGGCCAGCGGTTATGAAAACATGAATGATCACTTATTTTAATGCGGTGCGCTGTCGCCCTTTCTACGTAAAAAATTAAAAATCAGTCAAATCATGTAATGTGAATGTCGTACAGTCTTGCTCGTGACTAAAAAAAATAGTTGAAAGCGTACCGAGCCACGGAAGAGACACTGTTTCTCAAGCGCTTTCCGCGAGCGCGATTTGCGACGGAATGAAACACGGTGAATGTTCATAACCACTCACCCCCACCCCCCGCCAACACGGTTTTGCGTAGGGCCCCCAGAAGTCTAGGATCGGCACTGAAGATACTGGTTTAGCATAACAAGGACAAGGCAGCCAAACTCAATTTTGTTTCCCATGTCTTACACAGCGATAATGATGAGAAACCATTGAAAAGCAGCCAGCATTCGTTGAATGGTGACCTGAAAGGAAGGGACAGCGGAGACAGCATGGTGGACTACGGCGATGAGGATGCTCACTTCCACGAGGACGGCTCTTTTATCGGAGAATACTCCGGACGCAAAGAGAGGGTCTCCATGGAAATCAAGGGAAACAATCAGAGCACAGCATAATGGTCCACGGACAATTTATTTGTTGGACAAGCTCTCACAAAAGGTCAGTCAAAAGGAAACGGAAGGAAAAAAGCACGGCATAACGGCACCCGAAGGACATTTTTGGAATTAATGTGTTATTGTCAAACTCTCAGTCATACTCGCATCATTTTACAAAGCTTAGTTTGTTTCGCGTGCTGTAACTGATCAATCATGTCAGTTGTGTATACTTTTGTGGGGTGTTTTTGTATTAAATCTTTGCAAATCATTGGTGACTTTGGAGCTGCCAGAAAGTTTGCTTTTTTTGTAAATGCAAACTCTGTACACTGTGTTTGCTTTCTTCGTGTCATCATGTAGCCAAGCAAGTTTTATGTCAGGGTATGAACTCTGTATTTTTATTTTTCTTTCGAAGCAAATATTATTGACATTTTATAATTCAGATACTGTATACTGTGCATTCATTAAATGTGGGTTATAATGTGTACAAAGGAGTTGTTGCTTAATCATAATTTCAGTTGAAATCCAAAAAGCGTAAGGCAACATAAGGGTTGACTCACAATTACTCACATGCTTTTTTGAAAGTTTTTGCATTGAAATGATTATCATTAATGGTCCGGGCTATACTAACAAGCTGCATAGCCATATTCAGTACCACATAAACCCTACAGTGAGTCTGCTGCGCTTAACCCATTAGCCATAATACAGTATATCATCAAATAGGCAAATACTCAATGTTCATATGTTAAAAAAAAAAAAAAAAAAATGTTGCCTTAGAATGACCTTGATGTTCTGGTAAGTATGACAAAACAAATTCTCATGGATTCCGTGATACAGGGTTGGAATTCCAAAATTCCACATTGGCATTAAATCCTATCACAAAAGTCCTCCAGGAAATGCAATTTTGTTCATTTATGTGTGTTTTTGGAATGTCTCCACATAGAGTCAAACCCAGATTCTGTACAATGTTTCTGTAAATTCTGTTTGCATGTTTAAGGATGTTGAATGAGGTTTGTGTGCAGATTTGACATTAAATTGGTTAATTTTTTCTTCCCTCTGGGCTTGCTGAATGCAGCATCACAGCCTTTTTGCTTCTTGAACCTTCTGTGCTGATTAATGCCTAAACACATGCATCCTATTATGGGGCTTTTATGAACGTGTGGTAAACATTTTACGCGGCTTTCATATTCCAGGCCCACAGCTGGATACATTAAGGTAAAAGCAGACTGAGGATGACAAGGACTTTAAAAAACACTGGAGTTAACACAGCAAAAAGTATTGGATACTGCAGGCAGAGTCTGTGAAAAGATATATCGTAAGTAAAGATCTATAAAATAGTACATCTGTCTGAGAGCTACGCACCATAGATTGTGCTATATTCCTGTAATATGGTTTTACCAAGCATATCAGACATTGTGCTCAATAAGCTTTCATCCCAGAGGAAATCTATGTATTTGGCTGTAAGAACACGGATGTGCTCTGTCAGGGAAATAACCTCGTTGAAAGTGGTGGAGCAGTTGGAAATGAGACAATGAGAAGAAGAACGGAGGGGTCAGCCACTCTTATGATGTGTTCAGCATATACAGATACGGCATCTCGCAGCAACACAGATATATCAATAATGCAACATTTTTACTGAGTGGGCAGCCTGAGGATACAACAGATGAAATCCACTAAATAAAAAGCTGATATTGTATTAGAAAGCCCAAAGATCAGCCTCTGTGGAGCAGCACAATAAAATGAAAATATCTGCAACTTCAATTATAAGGTAGGATGGATGGATGGATAGATAGATAGATTCTTTAAAATTTCTTACTGGACATCTGAAAGAATAAGCTCAGCATATTGCAACTTGGCAGCAAATGAATTGGTCCTGAAGTCTCAAGGGCCATCAGCTATTCACTTCAGATTAAAGCTTCATTCATCATCATTATTCTTCTATGTAAAGCAACTTCAGCAAAATAAAGAAGAGAGGAGTTTTTATAACAATTTTTAAAAGATGTGAAAGTGCACTATCTTTGTTGTTTCTGAGATAAAGTGAATAGTATCTGCTGGTAACATGATCTCAGCATGGTTGCTACCTGAGCTGACCCTCTCCATGGAGAACACACAAGCTTTTATTTGGCTACTGATTCAACTGAAGATTAACTCAATGATACATTTAGTGCTTGAGTGTTCTGGTCAAGGTTTGGCTGTTTAGCATGACCCAGTTTGCCCCTGCTGAGACCATGCTCATTCTTGCAGCACCATCAACCAATCACTTCCTTGCTGTTGCAGAAACATCTTCTTTTTTTTAAAGCTATTTTATCGGATCTTTACTAATAACTTCTTTCAAACACTGAGTCAACTGTTTGTAAAAACTCTGAAAAAGTATCAGCATTTCTTTATCTAACCCTTAGCTTGAGACTTATGCATTGGCTTAACAGTGCACAAGATATCTGCATCTCTTTATACAGTATCTCTATAATTCACAACTTCACATTTCACACTCCCCAAATTCTCACATTTTCTATGTGAGCTGAATTTCATTACTGCTATCTTTCAAATATGTAAACAGAATTATAATTGATCTGTCCCCTGTTAGCATTTATTTCGCTTTTGGAAACTGAAACACATGCAATGCCTACATTTTCTGTAATGAGGGTTTGCATTTCATAGAGAGACATTAGATGAAGCTTCTGCAGCATCCAATCAACAGCCATCTCGTTTTTATAATTAGGAGTCTAGACAGCAGCCTGACCCAGAGAAAATGTGAAATATTTGTATATTTAATTAATTTCTGTTTCTGGCATGATGCTAGAGACAGACCTCAAGTGAAGATGGGGCAGCAGTGCAGTGCTCACAGAGACAGTGTATTGATTGGATTTTCTGCAGTCTCTGTCTTCATTACTTGCTGGAGCTTAGCAATGCATATTTTCTTTTGCTTTAAAATGCGATACCTAAAATGAAAGCGTAAGCTTCAAATTCATGATGAATATGGCTAAACGGTCTGTATTATTTACGGTAGCATTGAAGCATGTTTAGCTGGCATAGTAGTATTTATATGGATACTTTTTCAGGTGACTTTAAGTACATATTAAAATTTAAGAATTCATAAATCAAAAGGTTTACTGGCCAATTAAGTTACACTTATACCGAATTTACTACAGACATGAAATATTTAGAAATTTACTAATTTACTAATCCTATATGAAAAGATATTCAATTACAATGTACAAAACAATTGACCTAGCAACACGATTGACACTACAACAATATTAAGACTAATACTGAATTCCTCTCAGGTCATTGTTACTACACTCCATAACTGAGACTAGGGTTGCAAAGGGGTGGAAAATTTCCGGCAAGTTTCTGGAAACTTTCCAAAAAATTCTAGAAAGTTTACAAAATTTCTGGAATGTTTCCAAAATTTACTGGACATTTTCCACATTTTTGCAACCCTAACTGAGACACAAAATGGCAGCAGCTACATTGTATAAAATGAGAGAGTGAGCAGTGTTGGGGAAAGTTACTTTTAAAAGTAATTTTTGGCAACTGTAAAGGCCCTTTCTCACCAAAAGTGAAAATAATATGCCTCGACCTGAAGGAAGTTCCTCTAAACCTCACTCCCAATTTATCTCACAGGACAGGAGAGGTGTCAGTGAATAAATGGGAAAACAAATAACTTGCTTTACTTTTTGAAAAAGTAATTTACAAAATTTCTTGTAAATTTGAAAGCAATGCATTACTTTACTAGTTACTGTAAAGTTACTATAAAGTACTGTAAGTAATCTGATTACATAACTCATGTTACTTGTAATGCATTACACCCAACACTGAGAGTGAGTGTTGTTTGGCAATATTTTATGGAATAGCTGGAATCTGAAGGAGTTTTGCATTAGGGCAAAAATTTCTATGAAGATTTTGCTTGAGTTCAAGTTGTTCATGAAAATTTGCCTTTTGTGTGGTGTGTGGTGTTTCCTTCTTTGCTACGCTGGTGACAATGGACAGTTGCCTTTTTGTTCACAAAATTTCTCTAATGTGACCGCACCTTCATGTGCGAGACATGAAAATAGCTGCGGTTTTAGTGGTTGAATAATGAATTTAGTTGGATGAATGACAGCCAGTATTTAGAAATATCAGAATGTCATGACTGACCAATTAAGGTGCGGTCAAATAAAGATATTTCAGTAAAATTTGGCTGAAAAAAAAGGTCCAAAGTCAATAGTATAGTGATGCATGAAACAAGTTCTCACAGAAGTTACTTTCAAACCAAGTAGTTTTTTGTTGGTCAGTGTGACAAATTCACATATCCAACTTGAACACCAGTGAAATCTGAGTTGAGAACCACTTCTTCATTGCATGGAACTCCATTTGTTTGGGCACATTTACCATTATTCTGCAAATTTTTTGTGGGCAAAATCCAGTCATTTCAATAGGAATTATACCATTGGGAATTTTGCGTAAGGATAAAATATTTCACCACTGGTTGAAGTTGGTCATGCAGATTTTCCATGTTGACCAATAGAAAACTTCTTGCTTTGAAAGTTACTTCTGTGTGAGATGTGCTTCAAACATTGCTACACTATTTACAACAAGCAATGGGCCCATTTTCTGCTAAATTTGGTTAATGTGACCGCATTTTAAGTATGACTGCACCTTTAGATACAAGTATTCTGATGTTTCTAAAAATAATAGAAGATCTTGGTTTGTATATATTCTGGAAGAAGGGGCCAGATTGCAACCAACGATTTGTTACAGAACACATAGTCTCAGCCTCAGATGTCACGCCCACGGACCGTTGGCTAAACGTCTGATGCATATGGCACACAAAAGTGGAAACACTTCAGGAGTTTCAAAGTTGTCGTTGGATTGTTTGAATTATACAGGATTTCCGGGAGACGTGTGTGTTGCGTTCTGTAACGTTCCGCCTGGAAACAAAGATGCCGTGACGCCAAACCCCCTCACGAAAGAAGAAAGCCATCGTCTTTACAACTATGACTACGAGCGCTTATCAGGATGAACTAAATGCTGGATTTTCAAAAGTATGTGAAATATTTAAAGTTCGCGGCATAGTTGTGGCGACATTTCCATGCACCGAAACATGACGATGAACGAAACGAACTGTGATTGGTTATTTGACATGTCGGTCAAACGGCCTCATGGGCAATGAAATTGGCCATGAATTCCAGACCTTCAGCCGTCAATCTGAAAGTCTGGCTACGCGAGACTACAGAACACATGGCGTGGCTGACACATAGGCACTCATGGTGAGGTGAGAATTGATTCAACAATAGCAGTGTAAGACTAAAGAGAACTGTAGAACCGCCTGAGGCAGGTTGAACTTCTTGAGAAGTCTCAGGGAATACAACCTTTTTAGTTCTGAAGACAATGTTACTTTTCCATTTGAGGTGTTTAGTAATGATGCCTCAAAGGAACCTTAAATTCTAGAGTGTGGCGACAGTTTTGGTGATTGAGACCATCAGATTGAGAAGCTCTGGAGACCTT